GAAAAAAGAAAAGCGTGTGTGTGACGCGTAATTACATTCCTTTGTTGTCCCCCGCCCACTGGCCTCGGACAGAAATCATTTGGATCTCACTTACAACGTTATAACATTCGAGACTAACTTTGTATACTATCTCTTGAATTCATATTACGGTATATATAACAATTTAATCCAATCTACGCCTAATAAATTTGATATATTTGAGTTATATATCAATTTCCTTGGCCTATATCTGCCAGTTGGATCAACTCAATTACATATAAATGATATCCTTTTAGGAATTAATTTTATTTATGAATGCTATTGATTCTTTTGTATCTGAATAACACAACGTACTAAACTACTAAGTCAAAAAAACATTACTGAAAAAGGTCATAATGCTTATAATGTGATTTAATGTGCCTTTAATTTAGAAGATTTCGATATAAGTAAACAGAAGCAACTATGTAAATCCGCATTTCACCATTTTAAATTATCGAAAAAATCTTTAATTTTCACATTATTTTCGAGACATAAAAATTTATTCAAAACAAATCAAATATTATAATATGATATCACCTTAATTTGAAAACTAAAAATTTTAATTTTTATCTTAATATAACAATGGGATTATGAGACCAAGAAAGTTGCTGATTCAAATCCTTCGATTTATATGACTTTTGAAAGAAAATTATTAATATTTATATACATTTTATTAGTAGAATATGACTTAAATCTTAAGAGATTATTAGTTTTATGCTCTTATTTCAATATATATAATAAAGTTATAGTAAAATTTACTGACAATTTGAATTCTAAATGTTCGTGTTTTATATATGAATTTGGGTCACTCATAGCTGAACTAGAGCCCTCATCGCTGGCTTTCTTGATGAGCTTTTGATTGCAAATCCAAACGGCTCACGAATCCATAAACTGTGTACATTATGGCGCAAGATTTAACCAAAAACAACAGAACTTCACCACTTTGAAACTGAAAAATTCATATAAATATAGTTACCTGCTCTTTAGATCAAATAAAGTTGACTAACAAATTCACTGAATATTCATACTTCGAATTCTTCGTCCGTGAAACTTTCATAAATAACGTGAACATTTGAAATTCTCGAAAACGAGTTTAAAGGTACAGCTTTGAAGTATGAAATAAATAAAAATCACAACAATGAAGAATATTTGCATTTATAAATTAAGCGAGTTTTTTCTTAGGTATTGTTTTCTTAAAGAAGTTCATAAGGACGTTTGAGGAAATAAAGTATTCGTGTTTTATGTGAACAATTGTAAGAAGTATATGTTTAATTCAATACTTTTATTGTTTAGGTTCCTGATCTTGAACAGTTTTAAATAAGGGAAACCTCATCCAAATCAACAGTTGGTATCGAATTACGGCCTTGAAACACCGGCAACTGGTAGATATTATATTCTTTTAAACCAATTAATTGCAAAAGCAATAGCTTACTTCACAAAGTAATTTATATTATGATTTACACTTAACACTATAGTATACTTACAGTATAAAAAGATTGCCATCTCGTGTAAGGAGCGTATCAATCAAAATTTCACACATGCAACCTGTAGCGTCCGTGCGTCAATTTATTGATCGGTCCGGGTCCGCTACAAATCATAAACTTTAGCAACATTTGGTAATCCGAAAGACTAATAGTAATTAAGAGTAGTGTAAATAGAAGTTATGGCAACAAGTGGGTCATCCAGGGACGCCCTTACCTTGCCCCGGCAACGCTCACACCCACCTAGGTCATGATCACAACTTGCTCCTGACCTACTTTATGCCAAAAATCACCTATGTTTTAATAGATTCGATACAAAAACTCTCCTATGGAAATTTCAATATGATTTATATTTATTACTGTATATAGATGTATGTACTATTTATATGTACATAAATAAAAATGCTTAAATGAACCAGTAACATTATACTACATTCTAATATTCTAAGTGGATATTTAGGTATTTTAAATATTATCATTTCATATTTCATTTAAACCCATTTTAAAAAACATGTTTTTTTTTACTTTAAATCTCATTAAAATTAAATAAATTTTTCTTTGTTTTTTTATTAATTGTGGTGGCCTAGTGGTTAAGGGCCCGCCTCTCGTGTTTGAGGGCATGAGTACGAAATCTGGCAAGTACCAATGCGATTTTTCCGAGTCATATGTACTTTCTAAGAGTATTTAGACACCACTGACAGACGGTGAAGGAAAACGTTGTGATGAAACCTGGACTTGTAATTTCCAATTATAAGTTTGAAATCGTCAACCCGTCTTGTGCATACGCGGTGATTAATGCTCAAACCTTCTCCTTGTGAGAAGAGCCCTTTGCTCAGTAGTTTACTGTGGTAGGCTGATGATTATTTTTATTTACAATTTATCTAATAACTTATTTAAATTTTCATATGACACCAAGTTTCATTGGCACAAAATAACTGCCAAATAATTATTAATACGCATTGACAAAATAATGTTTCTTAAAACGATATTGGAAGAAAAATTCTGAAATTAGACTTTTGTCTGCAATCATTAATTCCATTTTTTTAAATTATATATGTAAATACCAATTACCATTGGATTTACTAAGTACAGGACCGGATGAAATGGGTACTTCGGAAGGCCTAAATCTAACATTAGAGCTTAAAAGGATAATGGATTAATGTATTAAAATAAAACTGAAACTTGTACTTGCTTAATAAGTAGGTTGAGATATACTTTATGTTTTATTTAACGATTTGAACATTATTTTTTTATCATAATATCAAAGGTTGGTTTTAGAAGAGTTAATTAAACCACTATTAATATATAAATTTACCATCCATTATTTAATTTAAACCTGTGAAGTATTGTTTTGTTTTCTTTATATTATTTATTTATTATTTACTGTCTTTTAACCATCATACAGTTAAACAAATCTTCAAAAAATATTCATTACAATTAGCGATAGTTAAATGAAGAATTTAATAAAGTGTATAATATGTGTCAAAACTATAATTATGAAGATAATAATTATCTATGCACCATACAACAATTAAGAAAGACAAAAACAAACAGTAGCTGTTTAATTTTTACTTACATTTGTATAACCATATAATGATTTTTTTATGCTAGTGTGTATTAAATTAAATTATATTAATTTCAACAACCTTTTTTATAAGTTACCTTGAGTTAAGATCAGCGGTATCAGGAAAGTGTTACATAATTTCAACTACAACATAAACTTTACTAACTAATTTAGCTTCAGGCCAAGCTGTGCGGACACGAACGCGGTTCCTTTGGTCGCGAAATTCAATAACGTCAGTAGAAGGCTCTTAGGTCACTCGTGTCTTTTCATTCCACATAAGGTCTCGAGGGTAGAGCCTGCGGCGTCTGGCACATCTATTCCAATATTCATGAACTCCATTGTGTTTTAGTACAATACTATACAATTATAAATAATTCTATTGCCAGCTACAATCCGTACATCAGCGGGATGACAAAGTGAGTTTCAATTAAAACTTTCATGAAATACGATCTCAGTTTTCATATTACATCAGTGTTAAAAGCGTCTCTGTAACTATAAATAACAAGAGGTATATAAGATCGCTTCAACTTCTGTCCCTTACGGTTTCCAGAATGATTGCCTCAATGTTAAAATCTTCCTTCCTGTATTCTCCCTCACAAGACTCACATTTTATGTCATCCGTTGTAAGACTATAACTTGAAGCTACCTCCGCCGGCGAAACATTTTGATACATTCTTGCAAGTTTATTGCCAGTTACTAAGTTACTTTGTTTGTTTAAATTTATAGTTATTCATACTTGGTTCAGTACATGTACCTAATTAAAATTTTCATGTATTAATGTATCCAAAAGTTTGTTAACTTTAAAATATATTATATAAACTTTATCTAACTAAACCTGCTGCTAAATCCACTAGAATCGAAAAACAGTGTCGTTACTTACTTTTTACTAACTTTATCTCTATCTCTAAAACAAGAAACAAATTATCAAAGAGATTTAAAAAATCTTGTTATTTAAACTTGTAACTTGTTATCTATGTTAGTTCTGAATGTTTTATGTGATAACTAAATAAGTATAATTAATACTAACGTGATCTTTACATCTTTATCTTTCAGTTACTTTATATTTTATATCCGAAAAGCAATATTTAAGGTCCAACCAGCCTATTTTGCGCGTAATATCAAAAGTACACTCAAATGTAGGTTGTTTTTTATTGGTATCTCTCGGGAACAGTCCTCTCCCTCTAGATAAAAGGTATCGTATGTCCTTTGAGTACCATTCACAATACATATGCAAAATTATATGGCAATTGACAACTTAAGCGTGAAGACGTTTCAAATTGGACTACTTATTTTACTTATATATATTTCATTTTCTAATTTTAATATTAAACAATATTGTTTCAACAATACCTACTGTATTTTTATTCAATTATTTATACGCCCCTAGATTTCAGAAAAACAAATTCAATGACATAACATAAAATACATATAACGTTAAAAAATATAATACATTACGTTTGATGATTTCAATTGCACGATCTGTTTCATAGTTTACATTAAATAGATAGAATAATACTTGTGACATAAGAGAAAAAAAAACAATAAAAATTTCCAACATGACGTAATGAACATTATTTTCTTAATCGAAATCGAATCATAGTATTTTAATGGGAAGTTGAAGATGATTCTCGTCTCGGAGGGAAGCAATAAAAACGCTACGATAAAATTCGGTAGACTACAATATCGATTTTCCGAGCTCCATGTATTCCATCTGTTGCTCTCCATGGAACTTACGACAGTATTACTGGGTCGTTATTTTTGTATGAAGAGTTTTATCGTTGTACGCCATTGCTTCCCGACATCACTTTTTTATCGAACTCCTGTTTTTATTGCGATCACTGTCGCCTTTATCTCAGAACATAAAATTGTTGTTTCTTCTTCGATGTTATCAACTTTAACTCAATTGTATGATATAAATATTAAATATGACTATCTAGATGTTTGTGTTTATTATATTCTATGTTATGTTTAAGATGGTGGCGACCGAAGACACGACGGTACCGGGCCAGATAGAGACTCCTGGGACCTTCGGTAAACTTCGACAGACATTATCATCTTCACTACTCACAGCTCAAGACAAAGGTAGATATTTAACATAACATTTTATCATTAATATAACTAATAATAAATTACATAACTTCATTGTTTCACTATACAATTCTTACTGAATGTTATACAAACAAGAATTGTTTCATTTATAAAATATACGATTCTTTACACGTAACAACAATATGACACGTTGACTTCTAGAAACGTTGATTAATTAGTCAAAGTAATTACCCCATGCGTCGAATAACACTGGCTTAATTACAATTTATAAGTGTCGGAGTTATGACGTAGACAGAGTTCAGAAATTATCTACGCCGGTAGCTGCCAAGTTTGTTGGCTAATAATTTAAACGTTAGGATATGCTGAATTTAATATTAAACTTACGTACTATGTGTGTGAACATAATAAAACTATTGCAAGATTAAGTCTATAAATCCATTGTTTATTAAAATGTTTGTAATATCATCTTTTTCTATATTTTCCATTAATACTAAAACTTATCAATAGATTTGAATCAAACATAAGACAATGAATTAGTTTAAAACCCTAAATAAATCTCATGCATGATTTTCATCTCAGTACATGTTACTGTCTGTCGAGAAAGGTATTTTATTAATCCCTTATCCATGAGTACTTTTTGTAGGCACTGTATATTTAACGTGTACACTCAATCACCTTTCGTTGTAATTTATTTTGACACAATCCATTTTTCTATCACGTGTACAGTAAAGTTAAAATATATCGACATCTGAAGGTAAAAAATGATAATCATCCGTATCGGTTCTTATTAATGAACCTGAACCCATTTGCTTGGGAAATAAGTTACAGACTTAAAACAAATCCGAATACGAATAAATGTCAGGCTATTAATACTGACGGAGTGTTATTAAATGAATGGCTGAGAGCCAAAAGCTCTCACCTATTTGACACAGTAAAAAATCTCTTCTAATTTCGTACTTCAAAATTTTAGTATATACTTTTGTAATACTTAATCCTCCCATTTCATATACGAGTTCTACAACAAACTATAAAACTATGTAGCATGGCTTTTATAGCTATAAAAAAAACTATTTCTCTTTTACATTTTTTTGTTTAAATAAACTATCCATTGACCACGAAATAAGCTATAAAGGTATGAGTGTTAAGATGTATATTTCATTTATTTATATTTTATACGGAGGAAATTTATGTATTTCATAAAAACAAATGGCTTCCCTTATGTCATCGCGCCATTCACACATATTTTCTGTTTTCCCCTGCGTATTATTTAGCAAAATAATGTCATCATTATTCTATATAAGGTTGTACAATTTTAACACTTTAAAAATATATTTCATTTGGCCAAGAACATTGATTCATAGGTACAGAGGTAGCACACAATTTAAACTATTAATATTCTATAAATTCTAAACTAAATAAATTCTTAACTAAATTTAACAATTTACTTATCTATACAACACTAAGTTTATGTTTATATAAATATAAATTTCTTTTTTATTATCTATTTAAACTGATAAACGTTCGATCAATCTAATGTAATCTTATGTTTAAGTCGATCAATCTATTGTAATCTTATGTTTAAATAAAAATGTACTATTAGGTACACATTAAATAATTAGTATTTGTGCAAAACAACTATCTAAATCTCCTTTCAGTGTGCCCAAGAGCATACTTAGACTTTTGCTACGAAGAAAATCAATACGCAGAGCACATTCCCGGCGGACAAATCATTCTTAACGTAAAGGTTACCCCAGCAATACTACAAACATAACGTATATTTAAGGAATGAAAAGGACCAATAATACGACTGGCATTAAACAAAAACGAAATATAAGATAATGGATTCACAAACAGTATTAAATTGAATAAAAATAATAAAGTTAACGCTACGAATTGTAATTTAATGATTGAAAAATATCAAATGATTTTAAATAAAAGATTACTTTTCAATCAATTAACTAAAACATATTGAATTCTCCCAAAACAACATGTTCGATGTTATTAAAGTAAATTTCATTTAGATGACGGTATATTTCAGCGCGCTTTCAACAAACATTGAAATAAACACATTTCATGCGAATAATTAAAATGAAATAATAATGTATACAACGTATCACAAACTTTGCACGCGCTCGTTGAAATTATAACCCTCTATAAGCACTCTATTTAATTAAGCTTGCAGTATCTAGTTGTGTTTGTAAATTCAAATAAAGCAATATGAAATTTTATATACCCATTACAGGATTATATTTTTGACGAAACCGCAGAAGAAATAAAAATTCTTTATATAGATATTGAATGCAGTTCGTGGTGGAATTATGAGAATTTCTCAATATTCATAACTGAATATCGCGAATGTTTGTTCCCCCGGGCTCCCAACTGACACGCGTTGTTAGTACATTCTACGAGTGGGAGGGCGAAACAAAACGTGTACCTATTTGAATTCTCTCCTTTTCAATGAAACTCAATATTTCATAAAGGTGAAAACTTAACAGTCTCATCCATATCGCAAACTACTATAATTCAAACATGAAACTTTATATTACATTCATAAGTCTGTTTATTGCTGGGAAATAATCTTAGGGTTAATTTCCTTTTCCAATAATATGTAATGAAATAAAATAAAATTTGATACATAAAATATATTCATGTTTTTAAATAATAATTTTAAATAATCGAATAAAAATTTCAATTTAACCACTGTGTAACACTCTTATGGTCTCCACCTTATATCTGGGCATCAGTCATTTAAGACACCTCTTTACTAAGAGTATCTACAACTCTTCAAAGGACAGACACACACATCTTCTGGTTTTTAGGGTACCTACGGTACGGTACAGTCTTTAAGCGCACCTCTCGGGCACCGGCAGCAACCTCAATAAAGCAATCTCTCTTCTCATTCCTAATTAGGGTCATGAAGGTGTGGACGCAATCTAAACTTATCGTCTATTACCCTCCTTCCCCTAGTAATGGATTGCCTATTTCCCGGTATAAATAAAGCCAACACGAGTTACCCGGTATGCCAATGAAATCTTGTGTGTTGTTGCTGGGGATTATCCGCATATAACAATCAGTAACTTCATATTCATTGAACCAGACATTTCGATCTGAGAGTGACAGACAGCTCACTGAATGCCCTTTATCATAAGGGAAATGATATACAAGAAACTTCCTAGAAATTCAGGGTCCATTGTATCCGTCATCATGTAAACTAATCCACTTCCCTGCAATTTATGCAAGATATTATTATATAATAGTATGTAGTATTTATGCAAGATATTATTATATAACTTTATAGAGGTGGATAAGTGTCATAAAATTTTTATACAAATAGCTTTTAATGATGTTATTTTACAATAGATACCATAGATTGTATAACACTTTTCCGTAAAAATGAAAATTCGATTTTAATTTTATTCTATCCTATCTTTTCTTCATATCTTTATAAAACATAAACTAACAAAGACTTAAAATTGTATACATATATTCATTAGACCATTTCACTCATATGCCTTTATAGAAATATATAATATAAGTTCTTATTTCTAGTGAGTTGCACATTAACGTTTGATAGCTTGCAATATATTCCTAGTGACGAAGCTGGGCCCGCGGCCAGTTGTCACGGAGCCTGAACCAACGCCGCCGCCTCCAGTGCAACCGCCGCCCCCACAACCCAAGCCCGAACGGTACTACTTATATATAAATATATATATTTTTTAAGAACCTTCCTTTCTTTTTCAAAAATGAAGTGATGTTTAAAACATAACATTTTCAGCGAGGCGGGTAAGGCTCCATCTAGAGCAGGAGCGTGCCGGGTTTGTCTCAAAGCTTTAAAGCCCGGTGAGGTTTTCCATATATGCAATGGCTGCCAGCATCGCGTCTGCGAAGACTGCTCTTCATATTCCAAGCCCGCAAGTGACGAAGAAGCGGTACTTTTGCATTTTTTTGTGTTCAATTCAATTGAGACACGTATTAATCATTAGATTTTATTTTAAAATGTAACAATAACGTTCGTTCTGAAGGGATCTCACACAAAGAACTTAATGTTACAAAAGTATGTTCTTTTTACTTAATAATACAATTATGCCTATAGAGAAACATAATTGTGCAGCAATTCCTGGGTGAATTATTATAGATGAATTATCAATTTTCATTATTTTCCTGAAAGTCGTGGCCACTCTATGTTTTGTATACTTTGTCAATGCAATTCAACATCGTAATGTTTATCATCGAGGACCTTTTATATTAAATCTAACTGGTATATATTGAGCAACCAAAGTGTAGCTTTATAATATCAACAGAATTCATGGCGATGCTCCGTATGTCGTCGTAAAGCTGCTCCCAGGGTCCCTCCGGCTGCACAAGATAGTACTGACTCACTGCTCGAGGTCCCCGTACTTGAGGCATTACAACGTCGACACTCTGAAGCAAGGCTCGGAAGTGGGGGTTCAAGTACCGGGCTCGCTCCGCCACGATCACCCGAACTACGAAGACACTCCGATGTGTCACCTGCTTCCTTAAAGGAGCTGGAAAAAGTAATGTTTGTTTGGTCTTAACGCAAATTAATCTAATCTAAATTTTCACAACTCTTTAAAGCCCGATAACAATGCTCTTTGTGAAATTCGAGACCGACAGTATCATATTATCAGCTGTAGCTTTATCGAGCGAAATTTGTAAAATTATATGAATTTTCATGAATGGATATGTGTGTAACCACTCTGCCCTCGCGGCAGTTAAAGGGCAGCGGCAGCGTAACGCCAGGCGCGGACTCCCGTCGGCCAAGTGCTGCAACGCCCGCACGACGCCGCTCTGTCCGTGCTCCAACGACGCCGCGCCAACGCTCTGTTGATGAAGACCAGCATCCTACCGCACACCCAACAGCACACACACCAGCACTCGCTGCTCCACCACCGATGTCTAGACGGTAAATGGTGTTACAACTAAGAAGTTAACAACTAAGAAGTATAAGAATACTTAGCCTTGCTCTAGTGTTTTTTCCAACCATTATTGGATTTTTTTAGCTTGATAGCCATCAAATTAAAGCTCTCAGAGAAAAACACAACCTATTTTATCGCATTTATTTCTTTTTTATTGTTTCTTGTTACGATTTACTCAAACATTTATACGAACTCCACTAGTCATAAATATAATTTGAGCGAAGCGTCAATGGAACAGATAGTATTTGTGATAAAATTTCCTGACAAAAGATGTTATCCGACATCGGACATTTATATTAATAAAGCACAAACAAACTGCAATCGATGGTACTGTATCGATATGACCTTTATAACTTTCAATATAAAAAAATATATGACATGGACTTTCAGGTAATTATAATTATTTATTATATAATTTTATCATTAGAAGCCTTAGTAGTAACATCTGTTGTCTTCTTTTTGATGCCGTAACGGTAAGGTAACAATTACTGTCATAAAAGTTTTTAGAATCGTTTATTTATAAACAAGTTACCTCACAATAAATCACCTGTGAGTATATATCTTCTTTTGGTAGGTAATTATTTAGGGTCTCGAAGTTGACGACAGGGATTGAGGGGTGGAGGGGCATTAGTAGGACGTGTCCCATTTACAAATTCAACACGAAATCGCACTTATTTTTAAATAACTACCGAGACGTTTTATGTCTTTAAGAAATAGGAATGGTAAAAGGACTAAACAGATTAAAATAAATGCAAGCCATTCCCTTGCTTTCCTTAATAAAAAACCATTAATTCAATTTGATATGAGGTTGGTAAATATATTCGTAACAAATGTTCTCAAAATTAAATACTATTTTATATTGCATATTACATCAGGGCATCAGCAGTAGACGTGGTAGCAGGAGCTGGTTCGAGACGTAGTTCGTACAGGGCAGAAGTGGATGCTCCCGATACACCGCAGATTACAGGGTTGAGTGTTGACGAAGACCGACCCATAAGACGAAGAGGCAGCCAACTGTATGTGTTACATATTGAATTATATACAAATCCTGAGCTTAAATATTTTTATGTTTATATTTTATATAGCATATTAATTATGCGATGTAGATGAACACGAATATACATACATGAATGTAAACAACAGTGTTAAAAACAATAAATATTTAAAGTCCTTTAAAAGTGAATTAATACTAAATCGAATTTATCATGGTAATCAATAAAAACATCTGAGTAAGTTTTTTCTCTGAAAATATTATGCCTTTTTGAAAATATCATATCCATAACATTCGACTAAAATATACGACGATAGATAATATTTTATCATAAAAGATGTTTCACAGGCCCGATATAGCTGCATTACAACAAAGGACAGGAGCTCTAAGTGCTATGGCAGCACTCGCCTCACGCGGCTCAGACGCGGCAGAGCCAAGTGCTAGTGCTGCTATCGCTGCAGCACGTCAAATGTCAGTTGATGCTGAGGCGATAAAGATCGTCATACACGATGTTGATGATCGCTCGCCACGCCGTGTGTCATTACGTCGCGATCCCAATGACAAAGGACATCGATGTAAGAAAGTATTTAGAATGGAGGTTTTGTAACTTTCTTTACGTAATATATATAAAAAAAGTATTTTTTTATATTATCTAACCGCTATTTTGAGTCAACATTAATCAAATAATAGCTCGAGGCTTCGGAATGCGTGTTGTTGGAGGAAAACCAGATGCGAGTGGACGACGAGAAGCGGTGATAGTTTGGACAGTGCCCGGAGGACCTGCCGACTTAGCTGGCTTGCAACAGGGAGATAAGGCAATTAGGATTTATTTATAAAGTTTATATAATTACGTTACATGTTCATTTTACTTATTTTTTTGTTTCAACCCTTTATTATAGGTATTGGAATGGGGCGGTGTCCCATTGATCGAACGTAGCTTTGAGGAGGTATGCGCTGTGCTAGAACGTGGTGGCGACAGCGTTGAGCTGCTAGTGGAACCTGCTCCCCAACTCGACGAACCACCAGCACCACCCACAATGGCTCATCACCACCACGCTCTTTATGGTACCTCAAATGACGCCCTATTTCTATTATTTGTTTATCTTTACTTGCATTTTCTTCCTCTAACTTTTGATAATTTTATTACTTTCATCTCTCTAAACGAGCCATATGGTTTGTCAGTTTGTATTATATATTATTTACAAAATTATATCAGTATTTATTAGTATTCATAATTTAACACTTTTTCTTCTCTACTACTTTTTCCTTCTCTTTATGACACTGTCATTTTTTTTGTTTCTCTTTTAATCTTTCTGCTTCCTTCAGGCCCTTCATAGCCAACAGTAGATTTTCATTATTGAGTTGACTTCTGTAAATATGAACTCTGTTAATGAAATATCAACCCTACTTTCACCTGTTGTGTATAGATTATTTTGGTCCACAGAACCCGATACCGACAAATCGCCGTCGTCGCCCACCCGAAGGAAATTGCCGAAAACCCCGGTATAATATTCAAATAGGCTTATTATAACAATATGTGTTGTGAATCTATGAGACGATGGACCGAACTTTCGTTCCTCTTACTTCTGTTAGAGACTGTCACTTAACGCCTCCACAACCGCGCTTCGGATCTTAGTTGTGTTCTCTCTATTATTTCAGTGTGTATTTATTCAACATTCCATTTTTGAATCACATTTGCTTAACCGTCATATAATAAAGTAATATTAAGACCACTCAGTACAAATATGATTCAAAAACTTTTCTTGACTTTGGTTAGTCATTGTGTTATTATTTCTAAGTTTCTATTGATGTATTATTTTGACGTAATAGTGACCATACAATTTCTACGTTACCGTTGTAGTAGTATTACATTTTTAGACGACTTAAAAAAATATGGTTTTTGTATTAGAAATGATTTTATTGACATCATTTTTGTGACCCGTTCGTGACTAAGTCTGGATTCGTAAAAGCGTTGGGGCTTGTCTCCTTGATCTGCTGTGATACTGTAGCACTAATCACTCGAACATCTTCCATGTTACACTAATTTTAAGAGATTGAAATTTCTATATATTAACGTAGAACTACTTTAACTTTGTTAATCTTTTACTAATTAGGGAAACGTTACCCTGTTTTATTCACTGGAAATAACTTATCATATTTTAATTTGTTGTTAATCTATATACGTTATACTCGATCGTTTATATGGTGTTAACCTAAGTGAAGTATATGAAAAAATGCTGCATACTTATTTTCAGATTTTTATTTTTTCTATCACCCGACCAATTTCGTTATCTCAGGGACGCTGGGTGGAGTTGTAGGGAAAATTCGGCAATTAACAATAGGATCGATGCGATTACATCAGTAAGTTTAGATGGACGCTAACTACAATCTTAGTGCTCGATGGTAGCATAGGGCTCATCCCGATATCAATTTAACGACTAGGATATCTGTGGATGTTTAGAATATTATTCTAAATATGTGACGAAACAGTAGTGCAGCTAGAGCATTCATCGCTTTTAGCTTGCAAAATAAAAGAATTTTTTCTAAATTTAGTAAAGCGCTAAACATAAAGACACAGCCACTCACTCTATCCAATATTAAAAATATAAGCAAATATAAAAAAAAAAACCATAGGAAGGTTAATGTCAATACAACAAGAAGAACAGAAGAAATAAAACCTGCTACCAGATATACAGATGAGATGAGCGCGATAACGTCAGAAAAAAAAGACAGCGAAACGCAGACGGACCACATGAGACTTCAGTTCGTACCGTTCCCATGTTTTGAGCATCGAGTGATTGTTTACGAATTTTGTTGTTGATTAGAGTAGTGTAATGCCGCACAATATACAGAGACGTTTGCAAAACTAGTCTCATAGGAAGCTTGGAGTGGTGGCAGCACGGTACACCGCCAAACGCAGGATCGCAAACACCTTTAGCAACAGGCGCACACCGATGCTTCTGAATGGTGACGCGATACGAAATTGACACGATGTACATAGCTGTTCAGCTCCCGTAGTTATTGAATGTTAAACTGCATTAAATAATTAAGGAATGCATGACTTTGCACAGTGTGAATGTGCATTGTTCTGGCCCACAGCACTCACTTTTTGGATATGAGATATAGGTGTTGGATAAGATGTGCTTATTTATGTCCAAATATTTCGTGTATCAACATTACAGAATAAATATTATAAAATATATCATTTAACTGCAGCTTATTAAACGAAAGGCTTCCCACTGATGATGTGTATAATTCCTTAACAATGATGTATGGTAGAAAGTAAATTTGTATAATATTGTTATGAAATCATCGCAACGTAATAGGTATCTAACATTATTTAGGACTTTTTTATATCAATTACATACAGTACAACATAACTCTTAGAAATAAAAAATGTAAACTTGTAACTCTAAGATTTTGCGAGGCTTGACCAATTAGCATGAAAGCTTTGTGCATGGCGGATGAGAGCGTCAAGTTTTATTAATTATTACTTTATGTATGAATAGATATGCCTAAGCCCGACGCATGTTGTTAAAAGGAAACGTTGCAAAAATTAACTGGATGAAATGCAAGATGACTCATAACCAGTGACGTAAATGTAAAAATGTATGGACATTACGATGAAATTCCCTTATTACATAACTGCTGTTGGTTGAATAATAACAGTAGCTCTTTTTGCATGTTACGAAAAATATTTTGGTATCATTACATACTAATTTATTTTTTTGTTTCCAATTGGTTTCATGTTTTAAATTTAAGAGGAATAGATGATACCGGCTTTTTAGATAACCACATAGAATATTCTATAAGAATACCATCTAGCTGTTCGATATTACGATAAACTCATTAAATACAACTTAATAAAAAATCCTTATGCATATTAATATATTGACGTATATGTAGGAACAAGATCGCGCGGAACGAGTTAGGGAGCGTCCACCGGCGCGTGCTCAACTACAAGTATGGTTTGAGAGCGAGATCCGCAAACTCGTCGTGGTTCTGATCGCAGCTGATGATCTACCGCCTCGAGATCATACCCTGGGCTACGGCGATGAACCTGAAGCTTTCGCAAGAATCCGTCTTCTTCCATCACTGTAAGTTGACACTTACTATGATATGACTATCTACTTATTATAGTAGATAAAATAATGACTCTTAAAGACGTAGTCTTTTTTCTCTGTATAATTAAGTTTCGGTTAATTTTTTTTTTAAATATAAATACAGATAAGCTGATTTCTCTTAATGTGACCGGCTTATATTCTACAATCAATTAATTTGATAGCATTCTGATGTCCCTACTGGGTTCTACTTTCACTAAAACTTTTTAATAGTTCTTAAAGCCTTACACGATAAATGATAAATATTTTTATTCCAGTGAATCTTGTCCACCCGTGGAGACGGACCCTGCTTCAGCATCATGCAGTCCTGTATGGAACGCTACCCTTGGATTCGGCGGCCTCACGGCAGATCTACTTGCAGGTCGCGCTCTTGAACTTACACTGTGGGACGCCTGCCCTGGTATTGATCCAGTTCTGATTGGAGAATGCACCGTAAGTAATGGTCCTTTAACGCAAGGGTAAATTAAAAAATAAAAGTAATATTTGGGTGCAAAATAGAAAACTATTAATAAAAAATTGAGGATAACATTTATAATATTGTTGCTTCTGTTAATACCAAAAGCTTTGTAACTTAAAAAATTAAAACTTATGACGTAAATTTAATTGGAGGCGGGATTAATAATACAATTCAATGTAAATAAAACAGATGGAGTTAGAAAAGGCATTCGCTGAAGAGCGTGCGGTGTGGTGGACATTGGAAGAGCGTGGTACTCGGTCAGCCAACGCCTCACCTCGTGGTTCACTGACAGGGGCTAGAGCTCTTCGCCGTGGAGATTTTGCTTCACAAAGATCTGTTTCAGGTTTTTATATATTTATAAATAGAATTGTTTCTCCTTATCAAAATGCGTCAATAGGACATTTCTGTCTTATAGTATGCAAATAAATGAAATTTAAAATCGAGTAAGTTATTTTGTTTATTTGTCAATCCACCAGATGATGTGGACTCGATCGGAGAGTGCGCCTCGCTCCTACACCCAGATCATGCCTGGGTCGCTGGTTCGCGACGAGGTTCCTCTCAATCTGAAACCTTGGAAGTTGAGGTTTACCAGCTCGGAAAGGACTTTTCCCGCTCTCTACCTGGTTCACGTCGCTCCTCTTTCCAACAACAAGACAAAGGTAATTTATATTCATTAACAGATACTGAAATAAATAATATTCTAAGGGGAGGCATTCACTTTTCGTAAACAATTAAAGTCAACATTAATTGTAGGTACTCTGATTTAATGAGATCATCTTAAAGTCTATATGTACTTAATTATTATAGTTAATATTCTGCTTTAAAATAATAATTGATGCAATGAGCTGTTTAATTTCTAATGTAACTGTGAAGTTTAAACAAAAACGCTATTCATACACAATTTAACACACAAACAAATCAAAGGAATTATTTATTTAGCCACAGGTTTGGTCTCAAGAATATACAAACTGTAGCTATATGTACAACATAAAGTTTACTCTATTGGCGAATACCGAAGCAGGATCCGGTGCGAGATAAAATATTTTTATACAATAAACTTACATACTTTATTAGCACGAGTTTTTATTGCTATTTTAGTATTTTATATCGTGTGGACAGTGCTTAGCTGTCATATATTCCTGGTAGGTATTATTAAGTTTATACATAGTATCGATTAACCTTTTTCTAACATAGTTTGATTATTCTGTCAATAGATGGCGTGTCTGAGTCGCCGGTGTGTTTCTCGTCGTGAACGTCGTCGGTCTTCTTGCGTCCGTCGCGACCCTGACGACATCTTGCGTTCGTTGCGCGCCGTCAAAGGCGAGTTGGGACGTACGCTGTCACTCTCCGGGTCCACGGCAAGGCGTAAGTAATACATTTCAATACTGTACTTAAATTGAAATATTTAAATAACATAATATCTTAAGAGCTCATAATATATTTATGCAATAAATAAATATGTATGTACATACTAACACAAATTCATTTAATTCCTTTATTAACCTTAATATTACCCCACCCGTTACTTATATAAGTTACACCAAATAAAATCCATTTAAAATTTCAAAACTTTGTCTCAGAATGCCTCAAATAGTATAAAGATACATAATTAGATGACACACGTAGGTATAATTTGGATTGTGTTTACACTGAACGCCTCCAATCCGCTTAACAACACAACCACCGACCGGTATCTAGTAATACACTCGATCCTTTTCGCCCCACTTCCTCCAACAACATTATACGAACATAAAGAGTACTGACTTGTACCGTGTTATGCTTGTTTGGTCAGCAGCGACGGACCGTTAGCAACTCGGTAAGCGACTCCCGTGCCCGCGCCCGCGCGTGCTTCCCTCAGGGTTTGTCCGCGCGGTGTCGGTGTACATGATCCCTTGTGACGTCCGACGGCCGAACGTTTCCCATTCCGATTCTGTTGGCCGTCTCCGACCACAGCCATGGCTTGAACCTAGTTTAATCATGGCTGCGATCGGTCATGCTTTAGAAACGGAATGGGTGCGGTAACAATGTAGTAGCATGGGTCATACATAGCTTGCGCGACGGCCGCGCGCACGCACCGTTGAATGTGGCTGTGCCCGAAGCTTCTCATCACTTCACTGTGTCTGTACTGTTCTGTCCTGACGCATGCCCGGTCGCGGGCGATCACGCTCACTTCATCTGTTTCTGTGTTCCGTCTGTTCGGCATTGATGGCATTGTCTAGGTTATTATGGACTTCATTACCCTTTGCGAATGTCATTCATTGTTACGATCCACATTCTATTAGACTTCTTGTACATATATTCTTATTCTTAGGTCATAGATATTACAGTTACCAATCAAATAATTAGATGAAACAAGACTCCGTGTTTCGGAGTGAAAGGCACGTGCAAGTGGGCGTTAAATAGACCCGTACGTAGGCGTTACCGCTGTAGGTTGCGGTCGCGCATAACGTGACGCACTCGCTGGCGGCGGCATGGCAATAAAATAATATAGTTCCCTCTGAGGAAACATTACTTACAATCTCTAACATTAGATACGTTACAGTTATGGCTGCTCATGACACGGAATGCTTATACCATAAAATATTTCAAGACCGCTTCAAGCAACTATTAGAAACTCGATAACACTTTTGGCTGCACAAGTTGAAACGCTTCTTCTTTCATTTCTGTGTTTAGGGAAGAACAGTTTAAAAACCTGTGTACTTTAACAGAACTGTTGACATCAGCACGATGCTATTTGACGTGCTTTATGTATTGTTTATTTATTTTAAAATGTTTTATTGAATGGTTATTCTACTTTGGTTTATGTTAAATATTTTTTGTGTTGAGACGATAGTGCGATACAACGTAATCGACATAGTTGTACGCCCGTGTTATCCAGAGAGCTAGTAGTGATCGTTACTGTGGTCGGAAGTGGTGTTGTCGCGGGTGGTAGGTAGTATGTGTTGTGGGTGCGCAGGCACAGCGACGGGGCGCAAGGGCAGCATGTGGGCGGCTGTACCAGCAGCGGCGGCTTGTGACGCGGTGGCAGACGACGATGACGACGTGCCTTTAGGACCGGGACAACTGCCGCCGCGGAATGCTCATCTGCCGCCGCTGCACGCTGAAATCAATATCAGCATCATCATGATCAAAGGACAACTTGAGCTAGAGGTTTATATCCTTAATGGATAATTTACGAAAATTTTTTACGTTTTCTATTTGAATATATTGTACATGTAGACTTAAAAAAACTAAATCCAAATATGACTGAAGTTTCTAATACATTCAGAACATAATAAGAACCGAATACGTAAAATTATTAATGAAGCAATGTTTTCTTTGCAATCATTTGTTACTAATATATTGTTGAAAACCATATTATATAATATTTGCTCCAAATAAAATATATTGTACTTAAATTTGCTAACAGGTATCTCATGCTCGACGGGTTTACGGCGTTAATGGCGAAGTGCCTGACTCATACGTGAAATGCTATCTTCGCGATGGTGACAAGTGGTTGCACAAGCGTAAGACAAGAGTAATACGCCGCACCACTGAGCCACATTTCAAACAAACGCTTAAATATCAGGTATATTATAATATTAAATCTTAATTTAGGGTTACAGTTAAAATAATTTTATCACTGTAGAAAAAACATCACTGTTAAATGTTCTTCTCTGCTGTAGATTTCAATTTCATTGCGGTATACTATCTAACGTTCCATTTCAATTTGAAGAAAGTATGAATAATAATATCAACAGTTTATATTAATAGATTTCAGCACTATTTTGGGATACTAAAGCGAAGTGAGTCTCCGATATAATACCTTTAAAATATCTATATTTTTGATTCTATAGTAAAGTTTGTTTTTACGCTCCGAATGTATTACCTTTGTAACATCTACATTCTTGATTCTATAGTGTCCAAGCTTTGAATGATAAACGACTTATAATAAACTATCCAATTTTAAAATTAGGCAAGCGAGGCTTTAGGTCGTACTCTGGTAGTGATGCTGTGGCAACGATGCGGAGGATTTGAACACAACCTCGCCCTGGGAGGAGCGGAGATATGCCTCGACAAACTGTCCCTGCCGCAGCGCACGTATGGATGGTATCCTCTGTTCCCAGCCACCTCGCTCGCCGCTGACGAGTCGCCCGATTGATCCAGGTACTAACATAATACACAAAACGTTTAATTCAAAAGGTTGACGTGTTTAATCCTACCTATTACGTTTATAAGATCGTTTGAGTTTAATTAAATTCAATGTTTTGAGTAATTTTGTTATAATGATTGACTAATTCTTATGAGTTCTACTTTATACTGTTTCTATTTAAGTAAATAATGTATTTTATTATAAGGGAGCCGTCGCCGGAGCGCCACGAGAACTAGCACTCCACGACGGCTCAATACAGCAAGTCCTGATATTACAAGGCCTAGTTATTGATGTTCTGATGATGCATGGCCTATACAAGACCGTCTCCATGCTATGCCCCATAACGCTGGTACAAAGACTATTCGTTTCTTATTGTGCTCATTTAATGTGTATTGAATGTCGTTACTTTATGTATTATAAATGAAAATTATTTTAGAAATATTATAATATCGATGCAGTTACAATAATTAACCGATTTTATTAAAATGTTATTGCTTAAATATATATTTGCTTTCAACAGAGTTTATAGAATTATATGAGGAACTACTAATTGATGTTCTGTTCGTATATGGCCTATCTATTCGCATTTTCAAAATATTAGAAAAAAATGTAGTTTAACATATCCATATATATATGTATAAAATATATTTATATAAACAAATAGTTTAATCAATTCTTTGATAATGACTAATGTAACTAGATAATTAAGAAATGTATTTGTAGATTTTATGTGTTTTTCTTGTATAGGAATCGATTTCTTTTGTTCGATTAATAGGATCGAGTAACAGTCCCCCTAAAGCAGATAACATTTTATGTATTTAAGGTATTATTTATTTTATCCCTTGATTAATTTGTATTATGATGTCGTTCGCAACGTTATAGAGTTTTCCTATCAAATCTGATTGTGTAAAGAAATACAAAAGAAACAAAATGGAAGGCAACTAAAATATATTCAATATTTCAAAATACTTTATAATATCGATGTTATTTTATTATAATTACTTCATCTGCTTGAAATTAAAGATGTATGTAGGTACTCATTGTGAGCCGCTACTGAGCTCACAATCTCTTTTATCACTTTAGTTTATTTGTATTACATGTTTTGCTTATATACTTAGTAATATGTATAACAAGATAAAACAGAAAAGGGTTTTCAGAAAAAGTTCAAAAATGCGTCCTCTCAGATGGTAAATAAAAATTGTTTCGTAAAAAAAAAATACTCTACTTGCCGTCTGTTCTGTGACAAATTAAGTAAGTTGAAATGGGCTACGTTTTCTCAATAACTTTACAAACAAAGGAAAAAACGATAACAGTGTCATTTTTAAAGAAATTTTTAAACCCAGTAGCCTTTATATCTTAAACAAGTATCATTTCAATACTAGAAAAATATAATATAACCATCTTATTAATTACTGATAAGTGATGTAAAATAACATCATATAATATGTGGATAAGCGTTAAATGTGTATTATTAGAAATACCTGTCTTTAATACTGTGGTACTACTTTATATAATCGTCATCTTAAAACCCCAACTTAACACTTTGCCTTATACGATTTGTAGATTTCTTAAGAAACACTAGTTTGTAAGTGCGTCTAGGTACTATTCTTCCAAGGTTGTGCTTTAGTGAATTTTCCCTATAGCTATCTACCGACATTGTTATTTCTTTTTATCGAAATAGTTATATATCTTTACACACTGTAAATACTGTTGTTTTTTTTTCAAAAATTTCTACGCACAACTGTTTCGTGATAGTATTAAAATCTTTTATAAAGTAGTACATATAATATACGTCTCTAACATATATTTAAATGCTTAATATTCAGAATATAAATTCATTGTATAGGGCAATAGGAATTGCTTTAGCCTCTTAAACATTTATGATCCCTGTAAACCCAGATCCTACGAATCACAGTAGGAGAAATTTGACTAATGTTCATCAAAAGTTTTATTTGCTAAAATCCTTGGATAAAAATGTAATAAATTGTCCATATACGACGTTATACACCTACTCGTATCTGATCCGATACAGTACGATTTTCGTTTGCAATTGAACATTGTATTAGAAATAAGCATAAGTACACTGTAATTTGCCTAATTACCAATTTTTAAGAACCTTTGTTTGTACTAAAATAATTTATAGTTGAAATTAACTTCCATATATTGCTTCTTTGTATGTAATTGTAATAAAGACATTCGCAACTTCATTCCTACTTAAAAACAAAATAACATTGCCCTGCATTATCATCGTCGAATACCAATAGTTACAATTATAAGTATACCTATGGCTCCCTTTAACATATTTTTACCACATTAATCAGGTTTATTATAGTTTTCTCTTTCTTATTTTTATTCTTGAGTAAAGAAAGAAATACCTTATTAAGATATAGTGAGTGTTAATAGAATTTTCAGATATATTATTATTGTGAATCATTATGTACGGCCCCTCCTAGCCGTTTTAAATATATATTAATATTGATTCTATACATATATTTTAATTGGTGTTAGATACAAATTACATATCGACGGAATTTAATACTCGTCAAAATCTGTGTTCTTCCATAACTTTCGTAGCTTAGTGACTCGCTTGACAATATTATATTCATCTTGTTTCATAGGGTACCTTTTATGATCTTTTCAATACATATTCACTATTTGTCCTTAATAGATCTTACTATTTAAATGCCTTAATAATCTAGACTCTATGAAATGTTTGTAAAATATCTTTTCATACGTCGGAAGCGCTATAAGATACCTGTGTATAAAACAATCGTGTGATTTTTGTGAAAATTATTTTTTTATCAACACATTAATTGTACAACCCTAAGAGAGAGAGAATCAAAATTAATCTTAATTCCTATATTACGTAATATGTACATTCCCTTTTGCCGTATAGATTTACCTATCACGCGTTGAATATATTTTTACACTACTTTTATATTCAGTTTATATAATAGAGCTGTGAAAATATACTTACTTAATATGTAATTATAAATCTAGATTAAAAAAAAATATATTATTCTGACAGAAGATTGACATCGTTCAATCAATTTACGCTTACTATTTCGATATATTAGTATGTATGGCAGATAATATTCTACATAACATAAGAGATATATAAATTTATTAACTATCATTATTACGTGCCTAATGAATCCCGTTCCCACCGTCTCAGCACCAGCGTATATAACCAGAAGGCGACTTCGTACTGCATTATCTACACTTACTTCTATTCTACTTTAGTGTTGTCGTTTCTTCATAGATACAATATTTCAAAATTCCGTTTTCGCGATGCCCAACCTCCAGTAATGCTCGTCATTGGAGTAGAACATCCGATATTTTGAAACAAGATTTAAAACCATTGCGAAAACGGATGGAAATACAATACTAGTACGTAACAATATGTGTGTCAAAATATATTATTAAAATAAATGTGATAACAAATGAGTTTATTATAGCAGTATAAACACAAGCCTGATGTTTTATTGATATCCCCTTTAAACATTTCACAGGTTAATATAAAATATACTTTACCGCAAGTAAAATTTGGACTAAGTATACATAATTGAATGAAAAGCATCAGTGTAAGCCATAAGGTTTACAAATTGATATTTAAACATATAATTTTGGTAAAAAATACCAGATGTCCAAAAATCTTGAGCCTTTATGCTTGACGACCATATTTTTTCACAAATACAAGTCGATTCTTAAATGTTTTCGTTAGGAAAATTTAAACAATCAGTCATAAAATAATACAAATTTTAATATTGATCATATTAATTTAACCAATGTGAAGAAAATTCTGTAGCGCTTACCACTTCATAAACGTATACCGATCCATAATTTTGAAAATAATGTAAGCTAAAGTTGATAATGAAGACGTGACGAATTTTTTTTCCCATATAATTTAACCCTTATATTAACCATTAATCAAATGGATTTTTTTTTAAATAAAATTATGAATTAAACATGGTTACTAGGTAAAAGGGCTTTGTAGATTTCGAAAAAAACATCATTTTTTTATAAAAAGAGGGGAAATGGGGGTTTTACGGTGGGAAATTATTTCCCATTATCCAGTATGGAAAAGCAAAATATAAGTAAGTGGGAAATTATTTCCCATCATCCGGAATGGTTACATTTTTTTGGGACATTTTTACTACAAATTCTATACATATTACTTACTCCTACTTTACTTGTTTATTTTTTTTATATATAAAAAATTCAATATAACATGATTGAGTGATTGAATAAAATTATAAAAATAAAATGAAACTAGAATGTTACAAATAATATTTTATTAAGAACTTTTCAAATACTATCGTATTACAAGTTCCTATACCGTTATTATTACAGCTGACAAACAATTTTATATATATATAAAGACACTGATGTTTATCAAAGCAGGAACGAACATTGGGAAATTATTTCCCACCTAATTAAACCTAATAAAATCCAAGAAATATCAGTGCAAAAAGCACAGAAACCGTAAAAAGCATTCAGAAAATAAGTCTAGTTTACATCAATATATTGTTTATGTACTTACCAGATTTTTTTTCTACAAAAATTTTCGAAAGTCCCGCGAGAACCGGTTTTGTGCACCAAAAAAATTCAAATTGTGACTTTGACATTGACATACGATGACATTACGCAATTTTGTCCAAAATGTTGCCAAGTAAAATATTTAAAAAGTGTGTAAAATTATTTTGTTCCTGGATTGGTACTGATTAGAGTTACCAGTAAAGAAATAATAAAGAAATATTACGGTACTGTCAAGTGGGAAATAATTTCCCAATATTTGAATAAGGGTTAATAAACACAATATAATTATTAAGCTTCAATGAAAATAGTTCAACACTTAAATATTAAGTATTCTTTACAACACAACACGAAACTAATATAGTTATTCCTTGTTTCCAGTTCAGTCAAAAAAATATTCGATATTAAAGTTTAATAATGAAATGAAACTCAATAACTTTATGGATCTTTATTGTATAGTAACACACATATTA